TTTTTCTTTTCCTCCCCCTACTCTGCCCAGCACCCAGCTTTTTTGGACGGGCTGTACCAGGGATTGAACCCCAGGGTACTCAACCACTGAGCCACATCTCCAGCCCAGATTTTGTATTTTATTCGAGACAGGGTCTCACTGAGCTACTTAGCGCCTGTTGCTGAGGCTGGCTTTACTCGTGATCCTCCTGAGCTGCTGGGATTATAGGCATGCACCACTGCTCCTGGCCCCCACTTCTTTTTTGACTAATTGATTGTGCTCAGGGTGGAACCCAGGACCTTGTGCATGCTAGGCAGGTCCTCTATTGGTGAGCTACACTCCCAAGCGCCCCCCACACCATACTGGGGATTGAACCCAGGGCCACTGTACCACTGAGCTATATCCTTAGTCCACCCACCCCCCCTTTTTTTTTTGTTTTGAGACAGGGTCTCACCAAGTTGCTGAGATGGAACAAGTCTCCTGATTTAGTCAGCTGCTCCATATCTGAGATCACAGGCATGCACCACTGTCTGTCCCTGTTTGCCTGATTTTTTTAAAACATTCAACTATAAAAAAAATTATTTTATATAACAAAAATCTTAGGAAATAATTGTATGTATGTAAAGGGGACTTCCCTCTTTTTTGCCACCTATAAAACACCTGTGTGAAGTTGTAGATTCTGTAGGTCTGTTGCCCTGTGCAAAGCCACATGGACTGTCATCATCTTTGGAGATGTAAATGTTGTGATGCTGTGCTCTGAGTCTCATCCCCTTGCAGTTCAGATCTTGGGGTGAGAGGCATTTGCTTGGAAGAAGCCGTCTGAGTGCTCCAGAGCCGGGCCCTTGAAGCATTGCAGTGGTGGGTCGCCCTCCCTCTGATCACACTCTGCTTCCTTGCATAGGTCCCAATCTGGTACAGGCAAGACAGCCACCTTCAGTATTTCAGTCCTCCAGTGTTTAGACATACAGGTGAGTTGCCGCTCTCTCTACCAGTGCCCTTCCACCCTGGAAGAGCTGGCTTTCCCTCCTGCTGTGTTTAAGGAGTGCAGTGCTTTAAGTTCTCTGCTTGTGCTGACTTAGGAGTTAAAGAGAATTTCAGTTGCTGTAAACATTTGAGCTACCAAAAATCTGTCATGAATTCCTTTTTATTTAAACTAGGAGGTTTTTTTTTTTTTCTTTTTAAATAACTTTACCCAAAATAAAAAGTTTCTTCTCAGCAAAAGAAACAATATGTGAGGTGAATAGAGAGCCTACATCTTGGGAGCAAATCTTTACTCCTCAAACATCAGATAGAGCACTAATCTCTAGGGTATATAAAGAACTCAAAAAGCTAAACACCAAAAAAACAAATAAGCAAATCAATAAATGGGCCAAGGACTGAAGAGACACTTCTCAGAAGATGATGTACAATCAATCAACAAATACATGAAAAAATGTTCATCATCACTAGCAATTAGAGAATGCAAATCAAAACCACTCTAAGATTTCATCTCACTCCAATCAGAATGGCAGCTATTATGCATACAAATAACAATAAGTGTTGGCAAGGATGTGGGGAAAAAGGCACACTCATACACTGCTGGTGAGATTGCAAATTGGTGCAGCCAATTTGGAAAGCAGTGTGGAAATTTCTTGGAAAACTGGGAATGGAACCATCATTTGACCCAGCTATCTCTCTCCTCGATCTGTGCACAAAGAACTTAAAAACAGCATACTACAGGGACACAGCCACATCAATGTTAATAGCAGCACAATTCACAATAGCTAAACTGTGGAACCAACCTAGATGCCCTTCAATAGATGAATGAATAAAAAAAAATGTGCCATATATACACAATGGAATATTACTCAGCAGTAAAAGAGAATAAAATTATGGCGTTTGCAGGTAAATGGATGGAGTTAGAGAAGATTATGCTAAGTGAAGTTAGCCAATCCCAAAAAACTGAATGCCGAATGTTTTCTTTGATATAAGGAGGCTGATTCATAGTGGGATAGGGAGTGTGAGCATGGGAGGAATAGACAAACTCTAGATAGGGCAGAGGGGTTGGAGGGGAAGGGAGGGGGCAGGGGGTTATTAATGATGGTGGAATGTGATGATCATTATCATCCGAAGTACATGTATGAAGATACGAATTGGTGTGAATATATTACGTATACAACCAGAGATATGAAAAATTGTGCTCTATATGTGTAATAAGAATTGTAATGCATTCTGCTGTCATGTATAAATAAAAATAATTTTTTAGTTGTAGATGGGCACAATACCTTTATTTTATTTATTCATTTTTATATGGTGCTGAGGATTGAACCCAGTGCCTCATATGTGCAAGGCAAGTGCTCTGCTGCTGAGCGACAATCCCAGCCCTAGAAGTTTTTTTTTTTTTAACTAGAGGAAGTTCTTTTCTGCACAAAGGAGTCTTCACTGATATGTCAAGTATTTGCTAAATTTACAGTTGAAAAAAAAAAATATATATATATATATATGTATATATTTAGTTGTTGATAGGCTTTTATTTTATTTATTTATATGTGGTGCTAAGAATTGAAGCCAGTGCTTCACACATATGCCAGGCAAGTGTGCTACTGTTCAGCTCCAGCCCCAGCTCCTGTTATAATTTAAGTAATCTTAAGATTTGCTTATCTCCGTTAGCAGTCAGAAGTTAGTGAGATATATTTAAAGTGGCTCTGAGTGTGAATGTTTGCAATCTACCTTGCAAAAAAATGCTGAGGATTCTCTTTCTTCTGATTATTTACCAGGTTCGAGAAACCCAGGCTTTGATCTTGGCTCCAACAAGAGAGTTAGCTGTACAGATTCAAAAGGTGAGACAGTTAAAGTTTGTGGTATTGTGTTTGCAGATGTCGCTTTTAAGGTTTGATGTAAAAGACCAATTGATTGATTAATGCTATTTTTCTGTTTTCTCAAAATAATTTTCTTATTTCTTTCTTTTCCCCTTTGGGGCTGGGGACTGAACCCAGGGCTTTGCACATTCTGGACAATTGATTGCTAATGTTTTGTTGTAAATTGTTACATAATATATAGATTGTGGGTTTAAGTATTTTACTGTAGTTGATGTGCTTTTAATAGGTTTGTTTCATATGGTTTAAGAATTGTAACTTTTTCAACAAACAATCCACTTTAATGAAATAGTTATTTTATACTTCTGTACTTTGGAAGGGTTTGTTAGGTTGTTAATTTTGGTGTCTTTGGGTAAATAGAATTGTAAGTTACACGTTTTCTGATCTTTCTATAATTAATATATATTGTTTTTATGATGAGAAACTGGCAAAATTAGCTTTGTCTCAGCAGAGAAGAGTGGTTTTACGTGGTTGTATGGCATAAATGGTGGCATAAGTGATAATCAGCAGTACTGTAAATGGAGATAGAAGCGATCTTCGTTTTTTTGGACAGTTCAGTTGCATCTGACATTGTAGCACCCTGGACATGAACCTGCTTTTTGATTCAGGGCCTGCTCGCTCTGGGAGACTACATGAATGTCCAGTGCCATGCCTGTATTGGGGGCACCAACGTCGGGGAGGACATCCGGAAGCTGGACTATGGGCAGCATGTTGTCGCTGGCACTCCAGGGCGTGTCTTTGGTGAGCACTCTTGTCAGTGAAGGTGGTGCTGAGGTAGTGTTTGTGAGTGTGCTTAAAGCGTGCGGGATGGTTGTTTTGGTATGGTAAGCTGCTTGTGCGTTCCTGTGTCTGGGCCATTCAGACCTGTTGGAGTGTCTCTTTGCTTATAGCCTCAGGTATGATTATTTCCAAATCTAATTTTGTAGATATGATTCGTCGCAGAAGTTTAAGGACTCGGGCAATCAAGATGCTGGTTTTGGATGAGGCTGATGAGATGTTGAATAAAGGTATGAGTAACAACTGATTTTCCACAGAAAGCACTGTGAAAAGTTCAAGGCTGGCTTCAGCAACTTATCAAGACCATGTCTCAAAATAAAAAGGACTGGGGATATGGCTTAGTGGTACAGTGCCTCTGGGTTCAATCTTTAGTATCCAAAAAAAAGCAAACATTGTGGATACAAGTACTAGTTTTTTGTTTGTTTGCATTTTGTTTTGGAAAAATAGTAATGCTTTGGGGACAATGGTGTACATAAAGTTCCTACTTTGATTTTTTTGTATGGAGGGGTTTATAGGACAAATCATAGGGTTTGGGGGTGTAGCTAAGTGGTAGAACGGTTGCCTAGCACTTGAGAGGCACTGAGTTCGATCCTTAGTACCACATAAAAAAATAAAGGTATTATGTCCATCTACAACTAAAAATATTAAAAAAAAAAAAAAAAAGACTGATCATAGCCAGGCTGAGTGTTTTACCCCAGACTGATCTGGCACGTGAGTTGTGTTTGATGGGTTGGCACCAGCAGTGGTGGTGGTGCAGGGTGGCTGTGGAGAGGCGTGGTTGGTTGGACGGGCAGGTGTTGATATGTGCCTGGGGATTCCTTCCAGAGCACAGACTCTCCTGCTGGGAATTGTTCAGCTGTGGGCAGCTCTTTTGCATGCAGTCTCAGATAACCCTGCCTGTTTTTCCTCATCAGGTTTCAAAGAGCAGATTTACGATGTGTACCGGTACCTGCCCCCAGCCACACAGGTGGTCCTCATCAGCGCCACTCTGCCTCACGAGATCCTGGAAATGACCAACAAGTTCATGACAGACCCCATCCGTATCCTGGTGAAGCGGTAGGCGAGCCCTCTTGATTGCCTTTTTGAAAATAGCTAGTGTAACACTCAGCTTTTGTAGTACCCTTTGACCCAGTAGTTCCAAATTTAAAAAAATGAGCTGTTGGTGCTTAGTTGTTAATAGTGGGTTTTGGGGAACCATAACATTCAGACAGATCTAAAATGTAAGCCTAAGTAGGAGAAGGGGTGACCTTCTAGGGGAGAAGGGAGAATGGTGTGGCTGGGCAGAAGGGGAAGGGCTGTAGGAACCAAGTTCTTATGTGGTGGCCTTTGATCTCCCCACAGCCTGGCTTGTGGCCCCCGAGTCCTGGTTGCAAGAAGGGTATGTAACAGGGTTTGTCTTTTTCCACCAGTGATGAACTGACCCTGGAAGGCATCAAACAGTTTTTCGTGGCAGTGGAAAGAGAAGAGTGGAAGTTTGACACCTTGTGTGACCTCTATGACACTCTGACCATCACTCAGGCGGTCATCTTCTGTAACACCAAGAGGAAGGTGCGCAGCCTGGCTGAGGTCTTGTGGGAAGCTGCAGGTTGTGTCTGTTTGACTCAGGCTGAGCTTTGTTGTAAGGTGCAGGTAGTGTCTATTTTAGGCTTTGTGAATTCCAGGTCCCTGTGCAAAAACAGCCATAGACTGTGGGTACAAAAACAGCTTGGTTCTATTGCAGTCAAACTTTATTCACAAAAAATACTAATGGTACAGTGGTGTGTGCCTGTGGTCCCAGCTGCTGGAGTTCAGGAGTTTGAGGCCAGCTGGGCATCATATCAAGAACTCAGCTCAAAAGAGAAAAAGGGATACTGATGCTGGTTCTACCCCTTAAGATTCAGATGGCATCAGTGTAGGTGCACCCAGGCCTTGGGAAGTTGAGGCCCCCAGGTGTGCAGGGTAGGCAGAGCTGAAAGCATCAGAGGATGACAGGAAAGGAAGTGGGACTGCATTCAAAAAAAAAAAAAAAAAGATGTGAATTTAAATTTCATATGAGAATAGACATCTGAGAATCATTATGTGGAATAAATTAAGACTGTTCTGCAGTTGATCCACACAGTATTTGCTGGGTAAATAACTACAGAATCTATTTTATTTGTCTGAGTGCCAACAGCACTTGTTTTGTGAGTGTTTATGTTGGTTCTGCAAAAAATGGAAGCAAAACCCTGAGTACACATTGCCGTTCTGGGTTCTGAGCTCATAGTAACATCTCCTGATTTGATTTCTAGGTTGACTGGCTGACAGAGAAAATGAGAGAAGCCAATTTCACCGTGTCCTCGATGCATGGTGACATGCCTCAGAAGGAGCGGGAGTCCATCATGAAGGAATTCCGGTCTGGTGCCAGGTCTGTAGCATCTTCCTCTCATACTGGTGCTGGGCAGGGTGGTGGGCTGTCCTCAGTGCTGCTGCTGAGCACTTTGTGGTTGTAACTTGAGCTTTGTTGCCCACTAGACACTGGGAGGTGATAGTGTCAGAGCAGTTTACCTGGTAAGTGGAGCCACCTCGCTGGTATGTGAGTTAGATTGAGGGGATAACTGGCGTTAACTAGTGGGTTAATTTAGAAATGTGTATTTTTCTTTACGAATAAATGGGGATTTTCATATTATCTTTTAGTAATTGATTTTTAGTTTGAATTCACAGTGGTCAGAGGACATACGTGTGTGGTTGGTTTCTTTGAAATTCATTCAGACTTGCTTTGTGGCCCAGCCTGCGTTATGTGGCTGTTCTCCGTGTCCTGGAGCAGGCGTGTCCCATTAGATTTCAGTCGCAGGTGGTTTCCAGCTGGCCTACACTCTCCCTGTTCAGCTCTTTTGTTGTGGTGGGTGAGGCCTTCCCCAGGAGGGCCTTGCTTGGTCCACCCCAGATGTGTACCCATCCAGAGCTGCTTTCTGGAGAACTCCCTTGTACCGCAGTGTCCTAATGTGTAGTAATAGTAATGCCTCTGTCCTGGAGCTGACCTGCCGCCCGCCCGCACCAGTACGGTGTGTGTCTGCACGCTGTCCTTCTGCATTGTGTCTTCCTGCATTGTTGTCATTGTCCTTGGGTTTCAGAGGTGTTTCTTGGAAAGAGAGTGCAGTTGGCATTTGTTTTGATTTAGTGATTTATTTTATGTGGTGCTGAGGATCAAACCCACTGCCTCACACATGCTCTACTACTGAGCCATAGCCCAGCCCTTCTAGTTCTTTTTTCTTAATTTTGACTTATTTGTTTATTTTGTGTTGCTGGGGATGGAACAAGGACCTCATGCATGCTAGGTGAGTGCTGTATCACTGAGCTGTGTCCTCAGCCCTTTCAAAATTTTAAAAAATTCTGACACAGGATTTTGCTAAGTTGCTCCAACTGGCATTGAACATATGATCCTCCTTCCTCAGTCTTTCAGGTCACTCAGATTATAGGGAAACTTCCTTTTTCCCTCCTCCCTGAAGAATTTTATTTCCTTTTTAATATTTATTTTGTAATTTTAGGTGGATACAATATCTTTTTATTTTAATGTGGTGCTGAGGATTGAATCCAGTGCCTCACTCATGCTAGGCAAGCACTGTACACTGAACCCCAACCCCCAGAAGTTTACTTCTTTATATTATATTTAGTACTAACCTCAGAGATTATACTATGTCCCTGGGTTCTTGACATGTAATTATTTGATTCTTTTACTGTTGCCCCACTTAACATGAAGACCTTAAAACATTAACTTCGTTTACCCGCAAACCTAAGGTTATTGTCATATTTGTTAGCATACATACATGCTTATTTGCAGGGCTGGCGATCACTGAACATTTTTGCTTTATGTAACAAAATTTATTTAGATTTAGACATGTTTGCTACTACATTTTTTTTTTCCCCCTCTCTGAACTTCCACCTGAGATTTGTTGGTGTTTGGGTCTGTGGATGAGAGTCTTGTGGTTTCTCTGAAAGGAGAAACTTGTCTTGAGACACTTGCTGAGAGAGAATTCCAGGTTGGTGGTTGGTTTCTTCTATGCAGAGTCCTCTAAGTTGCCCAGGATGGCCTTAGCTTTGATGCCTCTGCCTGTGCCTGCTGAGTTGCCAGGCTGGCAGGCATTCCACAGGTGGGCCTCTTAGCCCGTTGCTCCTTGTGTTTAGATTCGGCAGTCCTTATGAAGTCTAGATGTGGCTTCTGTTCTGGGTTGACGCTCCTAGGACTTGGAGGTGCTCTGCTTTTCCCCTTTGGTCACTGCTTTAGCTCTTCTCCTGTCTGTGGGCTCTAGCTGGGCACGCCAGTGCTTCTGGCCCAGCACCGTGGGGACAGAAGTCCAGCTGTATGTGTGATTAGAGATTTCAGTAACCATATTAGTGTAGGTGAAAAGAAACAGGTGAAGTCAATTCTGGTATATTTTATTAACCCAGTATGTAGTATTGATTCAACATGTAATCATCAGTACTAAAAATATTACTGAGAGGTTTGTGTTTTTTGTTTTGCCTTTTTTTGTACCAAATTTCAAAATCTAGTGTGTATGTTATACTTACAGAGCATGTTGGTTCACCAGCCGTGTTTCAGTTCCTCTGTGGGTTCCGTGCTCTAGCCTCCGGTGGCCGGCACTGTTCTGTGATGTGTCAGACGCTGGGTGTTTTGAAGGTGGTGTGGGTTTTTCAGAAGAGAGTGTAGCCACTGAACTAAACCAGTGCAGTTCTGTTAATTTAGTTTTTCTAAGCAAAAGTAAACTTTTTAATCAGTTATTGGTATTGAGCTGAGTCCAAACAAATTTCTGTACTAACAGGTACCCTTTTAAAAATCAGAGCACAAGACCTAAGTAGCTGGAGAGACCAGGTGCTCCTTCGAATGGGGCTCTCTGATGCGGTCCCTCACCCCTGGGGGCGAGGGCTCTGTGTGGGGTGATGCTGCTGCTCGGGGATCGCAGCTGCTAGTGGAGGCAGGCCCAGGCTCATGTCTTCATGGCCCTTTCTCTCTGCAGCCGAGTGCTCATTTCCACAGACGTCTGGGCCCGGGGGCTGGATGTCCCCCAGGTGTCCCTCATCATCAACTATGACCTGCCCAACAACAGAGAACTGTACATACACAGGTGGGCCAGCCTTCCCTGCCTCCTCCTGCTGTGGTTACTGAGACCTCTCGCTGTCTTTACTAAAGCAGCTGCTTTATTCCCGTAGAATTGGGAGATCGGGTCGATATGGCAGGAAGGGTGTGGCCATCAATTTTGTGAAGAATGACGACATCCGCATCCTCAGAGACATCGAGCAGTACTATTCCACTCAGATTGACGAAATGCCTATGAATGGTAAGGGGCACCTGCATCCTGGTCTAGGCACTGGAGTCCTCTGGTTTTGTTTGTTTTGAGGTCTTTGTAAGTCTTAGTGGAAATACAGATTTCCTCTGGTTTCAGTCGCCTTAATCTTGTCATTCTTCCCTTCCAGTTGCTGACCTGATCTGAAGACCCTGCCCCTATGCTGAAGATGAACTGGGGACTGTGGCCTGTTTTGTATGCCCATTTGAAAATGTGTAGGGGCAGTTTATATTTAATAGGATTGATGTGAACTCTCTTCTTATAGCAGCCCCCAGGAAGAGCCCTGGGGACTTTGCCACTTTTTCTTATCCATGTGTAAATAATGCATTGCTCCAAGTCTTTTTCATTAAACATTTAAAAATTTCCCGTAAACTCTTTTCTTATGATGCCATCAGCTTTTCTAGTAACTTGCAGGGTGGTTTTGGGCAGGCGCCTGCTCTTACCTCACAGCATAGGCAGAACCCACTGTGAAATGTGTGAGGTGTAGGAGGCAGGCTAGCAAGAGCTGTAGACAAATCAGGGACTTTGGGTTTGGCCGAGATTTGTTTGACAGGATAGGAAATTACAGAGTGGACATGTCAAGGTGCCGTGTGCTTTTCTCCTCTGAAGACACGTGGTAAAAGTGGAGGAGTAAGCCACAGGACAGGGGAGCTGCTGGAGAGCTGCCCCTGATGGGGCTTGGTCTGGAACTCGTGACTCCCCGTGTCCTCATTGTGCCCCCCAACCCTGGACTGCACACAGTACTGCTCCAGACCTGGGGGGAGGTTGTCCTGTATTGCCAATCACGAACCTTGTGAGTCAAAAGAATTCAGGCTGCATTTGGAAGAAGAGACGGCAGGAGTTCTTAGGAATCTTGCTGGGTGTGAAGAAGGGGCCAGAGCCAAGATCTGGGGGCAGCCTCTGGAATCTGAGGAGGACCCTGACCGACAGCAGGGGAACTGAGAGCTCCTAACTGCGTGGAACGGAATTCTGCTCACTGCTGGCAGGAGCAGGGATGGATACCCTGGAGCCTCCGGAGGAAAATGGCCTGCCTCACGTAGATTTCAGCCAGGTGGACACCTGACAAACTCCTGACCTACACGGCTGGTTATAACAGTTGTCATTTTAGGTCACTAAAATGTGGTAATGTTATAGCAGCAACAGGATATATTTATAACTCAATAAGACAAGCAGCCCATCCCAAAATAGGCCAAAACTGGAATAGTTGCTTTGCCAAGAAGGTTTGTGGGTGACATGAGTAGTGGCTGAGAAGCAGTGGTCCTCAGGGACGCATGGTTCAGAGCCACAGCGGTAACTGACCTGTTCCCTGGAGCTGAAACCAGAACGACCCTTCCCAGAGGTGGCGTGGACAGGAGTCCGTGCTTCTCAGTGCAGAGTGAGTGGAGTGCCGAGTGGTTTGACATGAGGAAGATGATGTGGCTGGGGTGCCAAACGTGATCTGAACCTCCCTGTCACCCTGGCGGTGTTTGCCCCAAAGCAGTGAAGTGTCTGTCCAAGACTGGTCCAGAACCACGAGTGAGCGCCACAGTAGGCAAAGGGCCTGTTGGAGTAGGCTGAAGCAAGGGGAGTTTAGGGTAACCTGAGCACGCCTCCATGAACTATCTGGAGAGAATAGTCAGGCCACGGGGGTTAATGCTCAGGTTGGCGCCAGTTGGTTGCTGGGCAGAACTCTTCACAGAAGGACTTCTGAGTGGCTGGCTGTGGCTCAGGGGTGAAGTACTTGCCTAGAGTGCACGGGCCCTGGGTTCAGTCTCAGTACTGCAAAAATTTTAAAAAGCATGGCTGAGGCAGGAGGGTGGCCGGTTAGAGGCTACTGAGTACCTCAGCAAGACTGTCTAAAAAATAAATAGGACTGAGGGCTGGGCTGGGCACATGGCTCAGTGGTAGAGGGATTCCCTGGCCGGCGCAAGACCCCACGTTCAGTCCCCAGCACTGCGAAGAGAAGGGCTGAGGGTATAGCTCAGTTGCTAGAGCACTTGCACAGGGTGTGTGAGGTCTGCAAAAGTCCCCCGCATGGTACAAGGGCGCAGTGCTTGGGACCACCACTTTTGGCAGTCGTGAGTTTTGAGAACCCCTCCTCTTGGCTCTGTCTTGCTGGGTTGGCAGAAGTGACTGCATTCTGACTCCGAGGTTTGACAGGTACGCAGCTGCTGACTGTACCTGTGTGATGCGGGCCACGGGAAGGCAGGCTTCTGTCTAGTCGCTGTTTTACCCACGTGTTTGGGCAGAGCCTGGCCCAGGGCAGGACCTTGCATATGCCTGGGGAACCAGAATGCTGAGCCCTGGGTGCTGCGACTGCACGTCCTTTGCTCCGCATCCTGCCCTCCCCACAGCCCCTGTTGCTCACGTCACAGGTGACGGCTGGCTACCCAGGCCAAGCTGCGTTTCACTGCCCGTCCTGCATGTGGACCGCCCAGCAGTCTGTTAGGTCTTCTTTCTTGGCTCTCCCTCTCCACCCCTCACCTGCCACCATCCCAGAGGCCACTGGGGCTTCTGCAAGCTTGTGGAAGGGGACCTTCCTACTGGCTCCACTCTGGGCCTCTGCATGATCAGGAAGAATAGGAATGAGGACCACAGGCTCAGTGGCCACTGGGGGGCTTCACTGCGGGCAACATGAATTTTTTTTTTGTTTGTTTGGTTTGGTTTTGATACCAGGGATTGTTCCTACAGGCACTCAACCACTGAGCCACATTCTCAGCCCTTTTAATTTTTTGTTTTTTGAGACAGGGTCCTACTAAGTTCCTGAGGCTGGCTTTGAACTTGTGATCCTCCTGCCTCAGCCTCTTGAGTTTCTGGGGTTATAGGCATCGCGCACCTAGCTTTAGTGTTTTCTTTAACAGGAAGAATAGGTGTTCATTTCTCCAGTTTTTATTGGGGCACTACAGTTGTACATAATGGTGGATTTGTTACATGTTTGTACATGCACACAGTAGGGTGTAACAGTGTAACTATTATTTGGCCAACACCACTCCCCACCTCCCTCCCCTGTTCCCTCTCCTCTACTGATCTCCACTCCCACCATTCTTTCCGTTTTGCTTCCACATATGACCCTTGGCCTTGTGAGTTTGGCTTATTTTGCTTAACATGATGGTCTCTTGTACCCTCCATTTTCCTGCAAATGACAATTCTATTTTTCTTTATGGTTGAATTAAACTCCATTGTGTATATATGCTGCATTTTCTTTATCCATTTATCCACTGATGGACACCTAGGCTGGGTCCATAACTTGGCTGTTGTGAATTGTGCTGCTGTAAACATGGGTATGTGGGTATTGCTGTAGTGGGACAGCTTAGTTCTTCAGGTAAGTACTGAGAAGTGGCATGGTGGGTCATATTGTGGTTCCACGCCTCCTCTGGAGGCATGCTGGTTTCCACAGTGGTGGTATCGTGAAAGTGCTCCTTTTTCTCCACATGCTCCCCAGCACTCATTATTGTTTGTATTCTGGATGACAGCCATTCTAACTGTGGTGAGATGAAATCTCAGTGTAATTTTGATCTGCATTTCCCTAATTGCTAATGATCTTCAACGTTGTTTTTATATATTTGTTGGCCATTTGTATTTCTTATAAAAAGTATCCATTTAGTTCTCTTGCCCATTTATTAATTGGGTTTATGGTGCTTATTTCAGTGTTAAGGTTTTTGAGCTCTTTATATATTCTAGATACTAATCCTCTGGCTGAAGAGTAGTTAGCAGGGGCGGGGCTGTGGCTCAGAGGTAGAGCGCTCACCTACCATGTGTGAGGCACCAGGATTGATCCTTAGCACCACATAAAGAAAATAAGGATATTGTGTCCACCTATAAATAAAAAATAAATATTTAAAAAAAAGAATAGGTAGCAAAGATTTTCTCCCATTCTCTAGGTTTTCTCTTCACATTTCTAATTGTTCCTTTGCTGTGCAGAAGCTTTTTAATTTGATGCCATCCCATTTTTGAAGGCTTGGCATAATTTCCTGAATTTTAGGGGTCCTACTGTGCCTATATGCTGGAGGGTTGACCCTGTGTTTCCTTCTCAGAGTTGCATGGTTCTGATCTAATTCCTAGGTCTGCGTTGGCTTCTGTGCAGGGTGAGATAAGGATCTGGTGTCGTTCTTCCAATATGGAAACCCACCTTTCCCAGCACCATTTGTTAAAAGGCTGCCTTTTCTCCAGTGTAGGTTTCTGGCACCTTTGTGAAGGACTCGATGGCTACGTCTGTGTGGGGCTCTCTTCTGTACCACTGGTCTAGCCACATCAATTTCTGATGTCACCCTGAGGCTGCGGCTGCAGGACAACAACCTGACCCCTGGGAGCAGATGCGAGTGGGGATGTCTTCAGAGCTCAGAGGACCTGCTGGGCCCTTGCCTGATAGCACTGCCACACTTAAGATGAAGCTCAGAGCTTCTCCATCCCTCCCTCCCTGGCAGGACAAAAAAGGAAGGTTTAAGTTGATTCGGTGTTAACAGGAGGTGACCACATGCCCAGTCTTGGGAGCAGCATGAGATTGCTGTGGCCTGTTAGGAAGTTACAAAGAACCTCCAGGTGGGGTGTAGCTCCCGGCAGAGCGCTGGCCCAGCTCGAGCTAGGCCCTGGCTGCATCCCCAGCACCACACACCTGCAAATTGAGACAAAGCAGTAAGTCTTTGGGGCCCTTCTGAGAGGTTGCATGCTTGCCCCTGGCCTCACACACGACTGTGGCCAGGAACATCGAGCCGGAGCCTTTCCTCTGGAGCACTGGGTCTTATTTGGAAGAAGCCCCTTCTGAGGTCCTCTTGTCCACAGCCTTGGCGCAGAAGGGACACCCCACCTATTTTCCCAGGCCCAGACATTCTCCATTGCCTCAGAGCTGGGGAATACTGGGAGGTGAGACCAGAGGTCCGAGCCTTGAGACCGGGTTACTGTTACTCTCTCCCTCCTAGAGGGCGCCGTATTGCGTGTCCAGGCGTGGGGACCACTCCACTTCTGCAGCTGAGCTCACTCAAGCTTGGCAGGCTGCTGCTCCACCAGGTGTGGGTCAGAATCAGAGGTGAAGCCGCCTTGGCCCCTGCCGACCTGTGACTGCCGGCCAGCGTCCCATGCTACAGGCTGCACAGCGTGAACCAGGGTGTGAGTAGGCCCCGGCCTCTTGGCCTCTCTGAAGATAGAGCTGACTCCTCTCCCCACCCGACCTGTCCCTTTCCTCCCAGGGCCACCACAGGGTGCCAAGCTCCTTGCCCAGTACCCTGCGAGAAGGGTCAGGTCCTGCAAGGAACAGTGCCCTTCAGGGCAGTGTGGTTGCACAGGTGAGGACACTGATGGCCTGTCCAGCCTGGTGGCAGCTGCCACACTCCATCTACCCTCCCTGGAAAATGCGAAGTGTTGGGGACAGGGTGCCTTGGGTCACTGAGCCCTGACCC